ATATATATATATACATATATTTTTAAAATCCTGTCTTCAAAAGTTAGTAAAATATTAAATAAAGTGGTTGTTTAATCTGATGTTTTTAAATTTAATTTATTAGAGAGACTTCCCTGCAATATCTATTGATATTGATTACTGACCTGCTACAAACCTTTCTTTGTGAATCTTTGATCTGTACAGCTCCAGTACAGCACCACCAAGCAGCTCAAAAAATAAAGATCCGTGCTCTTAGTTGGCCTAAGTTTATATACAAAAACACATTATATAGAGTATACAGTATACCACTCCTCTGTTTCAACTTGACTAACATATTTGAAGTAAATTAAATAAAACACAAATTCCAATCAAACGGCCAAGACACTCTCGGAAGACTGGTTCAGTCAGAGGCAAAAAGCTTGATTATTGTTATAGGTCATAACCTAACTTTATGAAAGCTCACTGACTTGTATCTTTCCACCTTAGAATTAATGCAAACATCAGACCATATCTTGTCATTTCCAATCCAAAGAATATGATTCATGTTTTGGTCTCCTGACTATTGTAGTGCTCTTTTACTGGCTTACCAAAGAAATCAGTGCACACGCTTCAACTTGCAGAAAATGCACATGCAAGAATCTAAACCAAAACAAGTATGACAGAGTAGATCATATCCATATTGGCATCTTTACACAGACTCCATATCAGTTTTAGCATTAGTATTATTATATTGTGTCAATTTTCATGTAAATCATGTTGAGCTACACTGTATATATGTAATGTGCTATACAAATTAAGTGTATTATTGTTATCATGATGAATTAATGCAAATATGTTCCTATATCTTTCTAAAATATATGTTTTTCAGACTTGTGACAGAGATGAAGATCTTAACGCAGTCTGTCCTCGTTCTCATCGCTGTGTTTATCTCAACATCAGGTAAGATGCAAATTAATTATTTTGACTTGGGGACAGGACAGTTTGGATTTGCACATCAACACATAACATTCTTCTCACTCTCTTAGGGGCAGATGAGGTGGTCTACGCTCAGCTGGGAGAGAAGGTTTTCCTTAAGAGTCCAAGTTCATATAATGCAACTGCACACTATATCTACTGGTTTTTTGGAAAACAGGAACCAAGCAGGATTCAACTTGGCTGGCGCAACATCATGGGTGGAGTGGGGAAAACTGATGGTGAACAATGAACTGAGATATTCACAGATATATTAACATATTTTTACTCTCAACCAGTGAAACACTTCTGTACTTTGCAAACAAAGGTACTATACTGCTAACAGCAGCAATCATTTATTTTTTGCCTTGCAGATGAATCCTGGAAGACAAAGATAACCTTGTCTGAAAACTCACTGATCATTGATGGAATTGAAGAAAAACACTTTGGAACCTATATCTGTGAATTGAAGTCTGGTGGTGAAAAAGAGGCGTTCACATATGAATTATTCCAGGTCAATGTTAAGAGTAAGGAGAAGTTTTCATTTGGAAAACCTATTATACTTTTTACAAGAGTCGTATGTATGTAGTTGTCAACGTAATCTGTGGACAGATGTGTTTTGTTATAATACATATTTTTATCCGGTGTGTTGTGCAGAATAAGTGTAATTAATTTTTTTCATGTTTTGACTAAAAGCCTGTGAATTTAACTTGTCAAGCGTTTAATCATAACTACAGCAGCATTTCTATTTGTTAAACTTGATGGAAATGCACCCAAGTTGAAGTCAAAATACTGAATTCCCTCTAATTATGAACGTTTTAAAACCTAATTTCATTCTCTATCTTTTACCCTGCTTGATTTCTGTGCTAGTGAATATGGGATCACCCTCTCTATTGCTGCCTGGGGAGTCTCTATCTCTGGACTGCAGTGTCAAAGCGTCATACAGGATGACAAAGATACACTGGCTGAATCCCAGCGGAGAGAGTATAGGCAGTAACCAAAAGGCAATAATCAAGACAGCCACAAGCAAAGACAATGGCCAGTGGACCTGTGTGGTGAGAGATAACCAAAAAGAATACCAGGCCAAAATTTCTGTTACAGTTTTGGGTGAGTTACTGTGTATGCACACATATAGTACGCATTTGTTTTACAGTAGTGTACCATCATCCTAAAGATAACTTTACCACTATTTCTCCTTCCTCCTCATTCAGACCTCGACCCAGCTTCCTCACTTTTTCAGTACTCATCTAAATCCTCACATCTTACCATTCCCTGTTCCATTCCTCTTCACATCTCCTGGGACCAAATCAAAGCTAAGGGCCTGAAGGAAGTTAACTGGCAATTCTTCCCTAAGCTTCCCTCAGGTGGCAATTCCGATGGCCCACAGCAGCTCTTCTCCCTGTATCTAGATCAGGTTCCTCTGACCTGGAAGGCGAATAGAACTAGAGGACTGAGTACAGAACCAGACCTCCAAAAAGGCAAACTGTCTTTGGTCAGAAAGCAAGGGAGGGAAGGAGACCGAGGAGATTACGTGTGCAGCTTCAAATTTCCAAAAGTGACTCTGAACAAGACTGTTCACCTAGAGGTGCTGCAAAGTAAGTCAGAGCTAAACTCGTGAAATTTTGTTTGTTTACTCTTTAGTTATCACAGTGCCATCATTTATCATTTTAAAGTCCAGTTGCTTTGCTTCCTCCTAATTATCGTTCATACGACGTTGGAGGCGATTGTTTCTTTGCCACTTCTCTGCCTCTGCTCTTTTGTTCCATGAGAATGTTTCCATATCTCTGCTGCAGTTTATTTGAAAGTGTCCCTGGTGTGACGTGTGTCTAATTCAGTGGCTAATACACTTGTCTAGCTCCACTTGTTTTAATAGGGTATAACGAGCTTTTCCTCTGCGAGAAGAGCATGATAACACAATGGATTTTAATTGCACTCTTTGTTCTGAGGGTTTATGATGTAGAACTAAGATTTCTCCTTTTTTATGCGAACTATTACTTAACTAGGAACACTGAAAAGAAACAAGTCCACCTATCTGATGGATGCATTTAAGGAATCCACAGTTTTATATGATGCAATTTTATGGTCTTTCTATTACATTTGCCCTGTGGAATCACCTCCATCTTCCACCAAACAAAATTAAATTTGGCACATATTTAAATGACTGTTGATTTATTAAAGTGGGTGCCAGGTAAGCTCTTATTTATATCAGCTCCAGGCTCGTGTGTTTGATGGTGTTTAACTCAAATGAAGTGTTGATGTCTATTGATGCTATGTGCTGTGCGGTTGTGATGTGGTTTTGCCTGATTTCCATTTATAGCTGAAAAAAATTATTATTAAAAATAATTGGCAAATTTCTGTCACACTGTAGCAACAGAAGCCAAAGACTCAGATAATAAATGTAGAAGAAAATGACAACTCCAGAAAGTACAAGATTTCATAGTCATTGCAGTATTACATTTGTTATTTCTTTCTCTCTTTACTTTTTTTTTTGCCTGCAGTCATCTCCTCCCCTGGAACAAACTTAATTTCTGGCCAGCAGGTCAACCTGACTTGCAGCCTTGGCCATCCTCTGCCCTCTGATCTGCAAGTGAAGTGGCTCCCACCTGAAGGATCGTCCCAGTTGTCTCTGCAATCTGACCCTCACCCCGTGCATCTCAGCATCCCAGAAATATGGACAGAAGATAGTGGAAACTGGGAGTGTTCGCTGTGGCAGGGGGGCAGAAAGCTGACATCGGATGTGATAACGCTGAAGATCGGTGAGTGCAGGAAGTGAAAGGAGGGCAGGAAATATGACATGGGCATGACCTCATGGCCACAGTCCTTTACAACAGAAGCTTGATGCGTTTTTTGTAGTGAATGCTGTTGGATGAAACAGTGTGTTTGTCATCTGCAGAGCCCAAACTGAGCGTGTGGATGTTGGTGATCATATGCAGTGCTGCAGTCATCGTAATCCTCCTCCTCATTGTTGTTTTCTTCCTCTACCGGCGCAGACAAGTACAGTTAAACCATTCCCTTCTGTTAGATTGCACTGTGGTATACTGTAAATATGGCAATAAGAGTTAACTCTGTCTTTCTCGCTCTCTTTGTGGCTGAAATTAGCGGAGGATGAGACACCTTAGGCATCGACTCTGCCAGTGCAAAAGGTACGTACACACTATTTCCTGGACTGATGAAATGGTTCCAGATATATATTTACAGTCACACAGTTGTCTACACTGAAATTATCTATGAAGATACAAACATTACTATTACTACTAATAATAATAGTAATAAAACATGCACAGTTTGCTTCTTGCAGCTTTGTCTCTTTTCATAAGTCAAACCAGAAGCTTGTGATTTTCTGTTTCAGCCCAAAGTCCAAAGGATTCTACAGATCATAATGTTTCCAAAAAAGACATTTTCAGGAGGACGTGGCAACCAGCTGATTTCCTGGCCAAATAAACTTGATTTTTTTCTTCTCTGTCTGCTGAACTGTAAGCCTCTGTTAGCTGTGTTAAATGAGGGCCTGAACGTACGTCAAAGTTCAGTCATCATTGAAATGTCAGATGTGTTACCACAAAAGCTTATTTTACACTTGTACATATTGAAACAATTTGTTTTTTATATTTGTAATATAACTTGCAGTCAATTTATTGGTGAGTTTTTGTTTTACAGAATTGCCTTATGGAGCATTTTCTTCCATTTAATTATATATTTGTTAGTGATGATTGTTGTTATACCTGGTTTATGTTATACCTGATGTTATTCTCACTCATATATGTCATATATGTTTCTTATGAGGCTCTGTAATACTGCACTGAAAGGCTTGGTTACCTGCTATCATATAAGTATTTACACATATTTGTACACACAGTGATACTTTATTACTTAAAGTAAACCATGTTCTTTTTGACAGTAGGATGCTGACTTTTAGATCACTGTCATAAATGTACCCTTTGGTTTTTCAATAAAACATCAGCATCTTTCATGACGTGCTTCTGCACTGATGCGGTTGAGCTCAGCCGAGCGGGATGGCCTTCTTCTGGCAGATTCGCCGATACAAGAAGTCACAGGGAACATCGTACCACTCGTGTGCATTGATGTCCACCACTGCACAGTCCTCTCCCTCCTGCCCACCAGCCTGGTTGTTGTCTGGTTCTGATTTATAGGTGTTCCAAAATCTTCACAATGTGAAGAAAGACATGTAAGTATTTTATACAGTAATTTATTTAGGGGCATGTCCATTTGAGTAGCAGTTTGCAGGAATGGTGGCTGATGTAAAGCATGCCACATGATATGCTTACTTGACTAGTTGACTATTGATTATGATTCTTAAATATTTGATTACAGTAGACTTACAATAATGGCTAAATGACACTTTAAGAGCTAAACAGTACTCGATCAGGAATTATACTATTTTATTTAAGAATAAGGCCTATGGGTCAAGGTTCCAGATTTGCTGCACATACAGTATGTCCACACCCCCAAAGAAAGCCACATTTTAGCTTTGCTAGCAACATGGCTCCAAGGAAAACTGAACTACTATTGCATGCAGACATGAGCACAAGCACATTCATGGTCCCCAGAGGATGCATCCTGTACATTTTCTGTAGCACCTCCATGAGGCTTTTTATGAAATGGCTCTACATTTATTGGCTTAGTTGTTCAAATGACTTTGGTCATCCCCTCACTTTAATTCTTAGCACCATCATCGGATCAAAGTATTTTAATTTATGACCAAATCCCAGCAAAACTATATTCAAATCAGCCTCAACTGCACTTTTGTTTTGTGCCCTGTAGCAAATGTTAACAGGCTGACACGCCGAACTAAGATGGTGAACATGGTAAACGTACCTGTTAAATATCAGCATATTAAAGGATAACAGCAGTAATTTTCAATTTTTTTTTTCAATAATCCTATAGAGAGACTAAAAACGAAAAAGACTTTCATGTACCCAACAAGCTAAAACAGGTTCGAGATTTATAGACATAATGGTGAGTAATCAAAATGTTGCTTTTAGTTTCTGTTGGGATTTATTGAAGAAAGAAAGAAAGAAAATCACCACCATTATCCTTTAATAATGTCATTAGCTCATTTAGCTCAATGCCCAAAAACAGTAAATTGTGGACTCCCGTTCTTGCCAAACAGCGGGAATATTGCATAAATTCCCAGTCATTGCTGGAAATAGGTGAGGTTTTTATCTATAAACACACTTTGACAAGAATGTTTCACACTACACCTGCTCAACAAGGTCAACTTACACTAAAAATATTCTTTAGCAGGTCCAGGCATGCTCACTGAATCTGTCTCAGTTTCCAAAAACAGCAACCTTTCTTATGATGTTTATCCTCTGATGTGAAAGTGCACAAAATAAATCTTGTGTAGGTGTCCCACTTTGTGCTATTCCTACAGTATGTGAGACCTAAATAAGATGTGATTGCAACTATGGTTCATGTTTTAAGAGCAAGGCCATTATAAGTTTGTACCCCCTTCGGTCTGTGGATGGGAAGACGCTGCAGCTGCTGAGAATATTTTAGTCACTATCATTAGAACGTTTCAATTTAGATTAATGGGCTTCCATGTATGCACTTATGTATATATTTTTTTAAATATTTTGTTAACATAAAAATTATATTTATGTATTATATGTTTATTGTTTTTTGTGAGAAGGGTGTTGCAGTTTCATACATACGGGGTTGTAAGTGATGAGTTGTCCACCCATCTCCAGTCTCCTTCTTTCTCAATGTCACTCAGCCCAAGCCAGTAGGTTGGTCAAGATGGCAAGGTGGCCGCCCATCTCTTCACATTGTTGTGAGCTGTTAAACCAGTCCGTTTTGTTAGTGCTGATGGAGAAGCACTGATCATCTACCTGAAGCCACCCAGCAGGGCACTCACTGCAGTTACTCACTATGAGGAGAGGTTAAAAAAATAAAAATGACCAGACAGATACTAGCAATCACATTCATAGTTTACAGAAAGATAAAGCACACATGTGGTATTGCAGAACAACATATAGCATATAAACCATTTTCATTTATCTGCTGGAGCCTGGAAGAGGAGTGTACAGTACCTGGAGCTGAACAGCTTCTTGCCAGATCGGAGTACTGTTTACACAAGAGTCTGTACTGATTTCTCAAAGTGCTTAGTCTCAGCTTTAGGAGGGAGAGCTCTGTCTCTGGACTGTCTGCCTGAGAGGTTTCAGAAATCAGCAGGCTGAGCAGAACATAAAGGATGGTATATCCTCTTACTCCTAGGGTGCCTAATGAGACAGAGAATAGAAGGTTAACATGCAGTACAACCTTAGCTGGCATGTAAATAAACCCATATATAAAGGCAGGCTGTAGCCTATAGTGTAAGGCGGTCTTACCTTTGGTTTTGATGAGGTTCATCATGTCTGTCAGGTTGTAGAATATCACAGATGTTGGCTTGTCTCTCTGCTTGTTTTATAGAGCAGTTTGTGTAACAGAGGGATGGGGATGGAAAGTACAGACAGATTGGACTGTCCATGACCATCAAAGTGTGTAAACTCAGATGGTGCAATATTCCGTATCCAAACAATTTATGACCTCTTTCATTAGATTAGATGAGCAAACATTTGATGTTGGAGAATTGTTCTGTCTTATGTACTATTGAATGAGCAAAGTTCCTTCTCTGTCCCCTACTTTTGTTTTCAAAACTGGCAAAGATGGCTGCCTTAAAAACATGACTCAGCATTGATCAGCACACTGTGCACGTGTTGTGAGGTGCTTGTACTCTCTTTGTTAGTAGAGCAGCTGCAACACTATCATGTCTACACCACACACATACGCACTCATACACACCACATGCCCACTGTGTTGCTCCAACAGACTGACAGCATTTTTTGGTACATATCCCATTCATTATTTTTTCTTGGCCCCTTATTCCCACAGCCATTATCAGCTCCTCTACTTCACAAGGGTTTGTTACTCAAACCAAACTAATTAAAGCTGTGGAGGAGTATTCAGTGTTTATTTCAACTTTATTTCAGTGATTTGTGAGCTAAAATATGTGGTTGCAAATCACCACAAATTCTTATTGCCTGAAATTCTGTATTTTCCCCTTGATTCAGAGCTTGACCTTGTTTTTTTAAACAACACACACACACACACAGCTGCTCACAGTCCTGTCACAATCTTGTCACGAGTCCAATTTTACTTTTTTTTTTTTAAAGGAAGGTGAACGCACTGTACTCGCCGCCCTATTCCTAAACACCTGTTTTCCACATTCTGAGTCATACATACAAGTAATTTATTCTATTCTGTCGAGTCATTTTATGAAATATCTGTTATTTCCAGGATTAGTGCTTCACTCCAAACAGAGCTCAAGTGTGTGGAAACTACTGGGGTTATGCAACAGAGGGCAAGGTGGCAGTGAAATGCAAGCAAACATCCACAACACAGAGCCAACAAACTGTGGGGAGACCCTCCCAGTTTGGCTTAACAGATCCTCTTCTTTCTCAGAAAACACGTACAAAAAAACAGGTTATTTTAGCCAAAGGTAAAGCATAGTTTAACTGTGCAGTACTTCTCTGAGCACATTTGTTGAACACTGCAGCAGTGTCGTAGGCAGAGGAACGTGCCTCGATAAATCAACCAGCAGAGACAAATTTAATTTCAAGGAGAAATATTGCTGCTTGTGAGAGGAGATACCGAAGCCTTTAGGGATCACAGGGGGTACGGTAGAGAGTGAGGCAAAGTGAGAAGGCACATTAACAAAGAGACCACAGACATGGAGGACAGAGAAAACTACCCCAGCCTGCAGGAGTTCACAGAAGATCCAACACCTGAAGGGACCAGGCCCATCCTTGAGCACAGCAAAGGTTCAGGTGTGTATACACGACAATGACACTGAGAGATGTGAAGAGGGTTTACTTAAGTACTGTACTCAAATAGTACTTTGACATAATTCTACTATACTTTTCTTTTTATGGCACCCCTACTTCGAAGCATTCTCCATGAGCACTGTTGTAGTTTCATTTACTTTATATCCTCTTAGGAGGTTTAATCCACTGTATAACAAGGCACTGTATTGTGCTATACAACCTTCTTAAAGAGTTTTAAAATGCTAATCTTTAAATTCTAATCTGTTTCTAGTAACTTTTGCTTTGAAATACATATAGTGGCACTACCCCTACTACCATGAATTACCATGCCAGTGAAGTACTAAGTAGCACTACATGAAAATCCTAAAATAAAACAGCATATCATTTACAACCATATCTGAACAACCATTCAGTCAGATGTTTCTACTGTTTGAAAAATATAATATTATATTATTGTAGCTTTAAATGTGGATATTTGCTTTTTATGTCACTTTATACTCCTACTCTACTATATACTGTATCTGTGAGAGAGATACACTGCACATTTTACACACCTACATTTATTTGATAGCAACAGTTACATGTTACTTTTCAGATAAAGATTTTAGATAGAATGATCTTTTTATAAATTATGATGCATTGCTATGCATTACACAACCAAACACCTGGCTCCACCTCAGCCTGCTACATTAAAATGCTGCTTGTATGTTTATGCATCAATAACAATAATCCAATTAAATCCTATTATATTTAATATTTAAACATAATCAAAAGGAAACTTGCTGCCTAATAAGGAATTCTACATTTAATAGTACATTCATCAGATAATTCTTCTCTACTTTTACTTAAATAAGGTTTAAATTCACAATATTTACTTGTAATTGTGTAAACTTGTGTTTACTAAGTAAAGAATTTGAATTATTTGGCCAGCGAGTGCATACCTGTGTGTACTTGTATGTATATTTTAGTATGTGTGTGCATATGTGACACTGTGAGACACACAGACAGTATCTACTTGACTTTACTTTGACTAGATGTACTATCTTTTGGGAACAGTAAATGGTATAAAGCTAAATTCTGGTCAAATGGTTCTACTCTACAATTTCCTTTTTACTCCATGTCTGCCCTCAACTTTTCATGAGAGGATTAAAAATGGTAAATGGACAGCTACCATGTCATGAACTGTTTTGTGTATAATCAGGCTCTCGGGAACTTAAACAGGGCATTCAGTGTTTGAGGAATCAGACTACTCTCCTGCTTATTGGATTTTTGGCCTCCATCTGCACCAATATTGTACTCGCTGTGCTCTGTAAGTATAAAGACTGTCTTACAACCTTCTGTTTGTCTCTCTATCTACAAGTCTCACTCCATTCCTCAGCCTGGCTGATTATTCTCTCTTTATTTTATCTCAGTGTGCTTTTGGATGCCTATAATTGGCAATAAAAAAGATGAAGTGCTCTCTCCAGTCCAGTGAGGGTCATGTAATAGAAAACGCACAAAAGTCCATAATGGTGAAATATTCCTCCTGCAGGGCCAACAGTCTCTGGCAGCTCAGCCTGTTAATACGCTTGTGAGGACACTCTCATTTAAAACAAACACCACTGGGGCTGTACATGCTTGATCTGGCATCACACACACACAAATACACACATTCATAGACACACAGAAGCTTTTGAGAACAATTTTAGCACCTGAAAAAGTTGACTTATATGACAAACATCTTGCAAACATCTAACACTTTCTAGATCTGTACCATACTGTGAGTCTCTTGATTGAGAAACAAATGCTGTAATTCTACTTTATGAATGGGGATAAAAGCACACATGATGTACTCTATAACAACAAACTGGCCAGTTCCTACCAGTTAGGTATTTGTCAGATAGATAGATAGATAGATAGATAGATAGATAGATGGCCATTAACAATCCTTTCACAGATTTATAACTTATCCTGAGATGTTGTTTGTGCATCTATGATTTATTATTTCTTAATGAAAGCCAAATAAATACATGACCATTATCTGTATTCATGACTTATATCAATTAGTCTTTACAACACTGATGAAATCATTTTAATGTTTTAGTAGTCAAAGGGGATTTGGGGAAATATCTGGCAATGAAACCAAAGTAAGTTCACAGTATAAATGATCATTTCTTACAGCCACAAGGGAGCTCATATAAACTCAACTGTTCCAGAAACAACAGCAATAAAATCTTAGAAGGAGACACAAACTGTAAGGAGGACCACAATATGTTTGAAGAGGGAGAGGTTGGTAGCAAATGAGAAAACCCATCACTGTGAAAATTATATTAGCTTTTAGTCATGCTGTGGTGGATGGAACTATTAGTCCACACACTTTAGTCTCACACTGGATGGACTGACATGAAATGTTCTATCTCTCTATTTATCTCTATCTATCTATCTACCTACCTACCTGTCTGTCTGTCTCCACAGTGACTGGCAGGTCGACACCAGGTACCCCCCTGGACTCATCATCTTTGAGTATGAAAGTGAACTCTGTGCAGAAACGATACCTCCAGCTCTGTAAAGACTACACCACTCTGGGACAGAGCTGTTCAAAGACAGGTGGCAGCATGTAGATAAAACATGTATACAATCTTCATACTCTGTGGTCTTTGAGTTAAAGTTCCCCTCACCCTTTTTTCCTGCTTTTGCTCTCTTGTTAATAGTTAAGGCGTGCCAAGAGTGTCCTGAAGGATGGCTCCAGATCGGGGGTCAGTGCTACTTTTTCAGCAATGACAAGCTGGACTGGCCGAAGAGTAAAGACAGCTGTGTAGAGATGGGCGGCCATCTTACCATACTGCACACCATAGAGCAGCACGTATGTGTACTCGTGTGTGTGTGTGTGTGTGTGGTTGTGGTATTGGGGACGGGGGGAACTGAACACAACAAATACTTCATTAGCAGAAAAGAACAGTTTGCCCTGCTGACCAGCACAGGTGTTCCTTATTCCCCTTAATTGGGTTGGTTACTGTGTGATGTCCACAGGTGTGATTGTGTGTGCATGTGTGTCTGTGCCTGTGTATAGATAGGGAATAAAAAGGCATCCTTGCAAGGCAAGGTATTTTCTTTTGGTCTTTCTTTTCTGCAAAGGCATGGTTTAAGATTAGAAGTTATATTTCAGGTCACCATGGGTCCTTCTGGCAGCTCATGTTACTAATAACATTAACAAAGGCTCTGTCAAGTTCATATATCCCAGTAAGTCATGGCAGTGTGTCAGTGAACCATTACTGTAAGACAAGGACTCTGAAACTGAACTGCTAAATGGAATTCGGCAATCATTAATTTTATTATTTACACCTATGCTTTGTCACCTGTTACACCTATGCTGTGACAAGTCAAAATGTCTGTGGTGAAAAAGGCCTTTTAAAGATACTCTACCTAATTACTTTTAAGCTGCTAGAGGATTGTGTATGACTCAAACAGTATGTGTATTATTTCTAGGATGCTCTAGAAAAAGAAGCCAGAAGAATTGGTGGACCTGATTACCACTTCTGGATTGGCCTGTCTGATACAGAGCTTGAAGGAGACTGGAGATGGGTGGACAACACAACACTGCAACACAAGTATATTGTCTAATTGTAATATCCAATTCATTTTTATATTCTAGCTTGGCAGTCATTAAAAATGTGTGTGATACTAAATAAATAATCCAGGAAGTGCATAAAACAACTAAAGCAAAATAACTTCATCATTAAATTCAAAAACATGCGCTGTCCATTCTTGTATCAAAACCTGAGACACTGTACTTCAGAGTTCAAACATGTTATCATCAATAAATCAAGGAGATGGGTAAAGTGAGCTTTATTTTTATATTTATCAGAGATGTTCATGGTTGTAATTATTCTGCTCTCTCCCCCTCTGTCACAGTTACTGGGATCAGCAGCGGCACTCAGAGCCAGATAACCACCATTCAGGAGGGGAACATGGAGAAGACTGTGCCACCTTAGACAGCCATTCCAAGACATGGTTTGATGTTCCCTGTAATTTCCTTTATAAACGAATCTGCCAGATGGCTGCCATTGAGCTCAACTGAATCCACTTAGCCTACAACTGAAAATACTGCAGACCTGGGAAGTCTCAACACTATGTGGACCCATGACAGAAAACCTTAAAAGCACCGCTTATATATTTTGAACAACAGGAGAAAAAAACCCATGTTAGCACACCAGAAAGTATTTTGTGTGACAGTGTATTTTTTCTTGAAGGTATAGCTACTGAAAATCTGCACACGGTGTTGAGATACTACTTGTTGGAGAGTCAGTAAGAAATATGACCTGTACAATGGTGCAAATGTTTTTAAAAAAGACATTACAATTACAATATATATACAGTAGCATTGCAGTATTGTACTTAAACAGCCAGTACTTAATTAAAAAAAACCTTTATTGACTGTGACATTAGATTATAATTTTTGGAGTGTGTCCATTTACAATTAATTTGCCTATTACCGAATTTATTTCTGAGATATTTCATCCTAATGACTACTATCTGAATGTGAGGCATGACATTAGAAAAAAGCCTTCATATTGCAATGAAATGAATTGTCTGTCTCTGCTGTATAGAAGGGATCTGTGCAAATTCATAACTTTAAACTGGACATTATTTTAGTAATGAATCATAAATGTAATTTGAGTGTTGTTTTCTTTTTGAAAAATCATAATGCTTCTCTACAATATTTCACACTTTTTAGACTAATGTAAGTCAATAAAATTGTCTCTTTTATGGTCCATTCTTTGTTTCTTTTCTGCACGATGGCATGTACACTTTCACATAGCCTACTGACCAATTGAAGTCTGGTCACTAATGTACCTATGGCCTATTACACTTAATTAAAATATGACTATCTGATAAGGCACCATTTATAAACAGTTTATTTGCTGCAGTTGATGGCTTTGTCAATGAATTATAAATCATATGCCAGTGCCTAACAAAGCCCCTATTAATATTTACCAACAGTGAATTAAAACAACCTTATTGTTCAATAGAAACTCATTACAGCTTCTTAATGCTTAAATAGCACCTTATCAGGAAGTCGTTCCAACCATTTAGGGTTGTTATCAATTCAAATAAAGTGAGGTCTGCTTGTGACAACTTGTCATATATTGTGGCCTTAGTGTGCCCAGGAGTTGTGGGACTTCAACTAAGAGTGCGTTTGCCTTTTTGGACTTTTTAATTTAAAGGATATTTATAGGTTTGAAGAAGCAAAAGCACCCACTCTATTATAACAAATCGAGAAGTAATTGTAAGGAAAACGTGATAGGTCAAAAGTCACTAGTTTAGTGACCCGGCACATTAGTCTTAGTATCCCATCGAGGTTCCTGAAATTGGGAACCAACGTCTGGTAACATTTGGTATGACTGAGCCATATGGAGTATACCGGATCACCGCTAGATGACGCACCTATCGCTGATACGAGGATACAGATACTGATTGACAGCTACATTTGTCCCGCCTGCATCACTTTACTATCCAATCAGAGGTTACCTTACCTTGTTGTCGTACGTTACGTGTATAGACAGCGGAAGTGAATAATCGAGAGGAAAGGTATCTGCTGCAAATCAACACAATAAGGTAAATTCGAACACACACATTATTATTTTGACATTTTTGAGAGGAAATAAATTACGTGAATTTTTTTCCAGTTATTTTTAAAGCATAGGAGTATAATTTGAATCACCAGAAAGGTTAATAGTGAACTGAGCCCTAGCGCCAGCGGTTACTTGAAGTTTTGCCGTTGCTTAGTAGTTAGCAACCCAGCTAGCATGACACATTGAGCTTCAACAACAGCTGGCACAAATTTTAACTGTAACTGTCAGTTTGAAAGCAGTCTTCTATCTGAAGCCATAGATAAGCCCAACGCCATAAATCTGTTTTTTTTTATTCACGCTTATTACTTTATGTGTCAACTGTATCAATGCCCGTTGGCAGATAAGGGCATTAGCTTTAGGTTAGCTGCTAACGCTAAAATTAGCTTGGCGCAGCCTACGTTAATACAGGGTCAGAGTTTGAGTCAGTGAGCCTGACAGAAACGGTTTAATCTATCCCTTGATCATCACCTTACATGACCTTGAAGTATCTTAATACACCACTTTATGGGTTAGTTAACTGATTTTTATTTACTTTGTTTAGTAATTGTAATGATGAGATACAGGGACAGCTGAGAGTATCGGCCAGTGTTTACTACTTCATTATTTGAGTCTTCATAGTAGAGCTACAGTCATGCTAGGGTTGAGGTGGGGTGACTCCGTGAAAATATGCTTATTTAAATTGCTGCAAATGTGTGTATAATTGTAGTTTCTGTGTTTTGTAGTCTCGGCACGTTTACTTTGCTCGAACAGTATTTTTCTGAAGTAATGTAAGGCACGATATACACAGTCACAGAAATCACAAAGTAGAAATTGTGTTAACTTCCCATTGTGAGCATCAGACACCCGACAATATCAGACAGTAAACCTTCAAACAGGCATGAGGAGAAAACGCTTATGTTGCTGTTGTATGCCATACTGTGCACTATCCATTAGGGGTAGTGTTGAAACTAGCCTGTGTATTGGTCTCTCAGCTGACAGTTTTGGTTATCAATTTATTGTTTAGGTCTTTAATACAATATATAATATTGATATAGGTGAGTAGTAGGTTATAACGTGAAAAATGACAAATGGAGGCACTGCTTCATTTGAGTTTTTTTTTTTTTTTTTGTAAATTTAATTTGTTTGGTTTTTGAATTTTTCCAGTCCTCAGCAAGCTTTACATTGGCTCAAATACATTTTTAGGCTTTTATATCATTAAAGTAGCTGTGTTTTTACTTGTAGGACACTTGCACCAGTCTTATTTCCAAAAACCCTTTTCCCAGCTAGTTTCCCCTGTGTAGGTTTAAGGGTATTATAATCATTATTCGGCTGCTCAGGGTGAGTTTTTAATGCAGACTGCTTTTTGTGAAGGGTTTCTCTGCTTTCTGTGAAGAGAATTTGTGTTAAATTTCAGCAAAACAGCACAAACAGGTATCTGTCCACAACATATCTGCTGAAACACCTCAAAATGTAGGCTTCAAAGTATTCACCGTGCTACATTTCAGTGAAGATTCTAGCACTAGAAGTGGTTTCGTGAATCATTTAGGGTCCCTTTTGGCGCCTCAGCCAAAAGGGACCCTAAATGATTTTCTTATGGGAAAGGTGGATTAATCACTTCTTATTAGAGTTAAGAGTATATTGAAGTGAGTGCAGCTTAGTGAATTTCGCGTATAATATACAACATTTTTACTGCTACTTTAAATTGTTTGCCATCTAGGTCTAGTAACTTTTTAAAAAGTGTTTGAATCTGTAACACTGTTTTGAGTCTACAGCTCCCTGTAACAGTACAAATAACAAAGCAATAATAGCAAAAGAAATGTAAAATGTTTTGAATAGACTGTGTGGTGCCACCTGTACCATATGAGAGGCCAAAATTTAATGAGTGATGGTTTTTATATCAGTTGTTTGTTGCTGTCATTTTACTGATATTGTACACAATTAAACGCATTAAAAAATTATAGTGTACATGAATTGAGACAAGAGTAAAGCAACGACAGTGCAGTCATCATGTAATGTTACTGTGTGAGAAAACATTTTGTCATAATGACTAATAATACATTCCTTCGTGCTTTGGGATTCCTGAATGTAGTATTGGTTATTTACAGTATTTTATTATTTTTATCAAAGCTAGTTTTTATTTTATTTGTGTTTATTTTTGTTTCATTTAAATCTCAGTGGTCACCAATGTACTCGGTCTTAGAAGAGCTGCAGATGACATATTGAACAAGTCCAGCCATCTCTCACTGATATGCAGCCAGTTTTGTCCCTCATTTAAATTCAGTAGACAAACACAGATGGGTCCAGTTCAGTTGCAGATTCAGGGCTTAATCTGACTTTTAAAAATAGCTGAAATTAAAAGAGGCACTGCTTCTGATGCACAGTGTAGGTTAATTTGTTTCACTGCAACACATGCCTACTCATCTGTTCAGGTGGCAAGACAGTATGCTCTTTGGACCTTCTTGATGGTGGTCCAGTGGGACGACATATGGAAGACCTGCTTGTGCGCATCTAAATTCCTCAGATTTAAGATGAAACAGTATATCAGCACTGACTGAGATGAATAAGAACAAGTGAGACCAGTTGTAGCCCAGCAGTGATATGCAGACTCTCTTTTGCATTCATTTTGGGAAATGGCCTCAGGTAATGAAATGGTCTGATGCAACTGCAATAACTGTATCTCTGTCTGTAAGATTAAACTTTCTTGTGTCTGCTGGGATTAAGATCTTAAAATAGCTCATAAAAGTCAACAGGACATCTTGACACATTGGGATGTTTGTCACTTAAGACACTTTTGATTTGGAAGAAACACATGAGATGAATCAAGCTGATATCAAACTGTAATTTTTTTTATATTTGGGTGAAATTTACAATAAAACTTGTGGGTTACAGAGCTACAGTCAGGGCATGGTATAGAAACCACTGACGTGAGGTTTATATCAGAGAACAGTCTTTAGTTTTGTGTGTGTGTGTGTGTGTGTGTGTGTGTGTGCTTGTTTGTTTGTGTTTTGGGAAGTCTAAATATTTCATTAGACACAGGCAGGTTCCTGTAGGTAGTTACTCTAGTGCTGCCCTCATCCCAAAGTGCATTTGCGTCATGTCTCTATGCTGGCAATGGGTTCTGATGAATATACATGCCCTGCTTCACATTCATTACAATTGTTGGCTGCCTTGGTACTGCCCAGTGCAGCTGCTGCTCCTCCACTGTTTGAGTAGCTCTCCAGGTAATTTGAGGGTTAAGTGCTTTGGTCAAGAGTACTTGGCTGTTAGATGTTAAATGAGGAGGGAATATTGTTCATTCACATCTATGTCCTTTCAACAGGCCAAACGTGGCTGGGCTGTGTTTCAAAGGGCATGACATGATACCTAGATAGGATGGAGTCCAAGTGTTCATTAATAGAGCATTGCTGTTATTAGTGTATTTATGGAAGACTGTGATGTGATGTCTGTAGATTGCAGTTTCTGCCACCATAATAAAGCCAAGGTGATAACTGAGATGTTATTTCTTTTGCCTATTTATGTGTTCTACATAACTCTGGTGCTCTCATGTGTCTCTGTACTTGACACTGTATTTTAGTCTGACCTGCTGTGTCTCTGTCACCTGGCATCAGATGGAGGTGGAGCAGCTCCTGTCCCTGTCAGGCTCAGCACTCGCCCAGGCTGTCAGCTCTCTGCTGGAGACCCCAGGCCTCTATGTCTTCTCTGACATCCTGGAGTTGCCTAATGTCAGAGAGGTAAACACACTCTCACATGTTATGTTCCTCACACTGTATGAGCTTAAGACTTTCTATATTAAGAATATACTGTGACAAAAAATGCCTTTTCAGATATGTGTACTCTGCGTGCTATGAAGCTTTAGTAATTTTTTCTGAAGGATTCTCAAGTGTAGGACCAGCTGGTTATTTGCAACTTGATTTTATGTGGCAGTGATCAAGACTCATAACATTTGAAGTAATGTGGTTTGTCCATCATTGGCTATGAATCTTGCAAGAACTAAACACTGTAGTTAGCTAAATGGAGGCATGGAAAAAAAATCTTAATTAGTTAATCTTAAAAGCATTAATGTATCCACGACACATGGATAATCTGATCAAACAAACGACAATCAGAGAGGTCAGTGATACATGTGACCACACTGTTAGCATGGCATCAGCATATGGATTTCCTAACTACATTACACTACATTTATCATCTGCACAAGTGGAAGTTCATATACATTTGTGCACCTGCCAGTAGGCACACCTGTGTGTAGAATTCCTGGATGTGATACTGCTGTCAATTTACAAAGGCATTACAACCATATAATGTACTGTATGTTGCATGAGAATAGACAATAACACCATGTTTTCAAAGTGAAACGCTGCAGTTACGGTAGTCAATTATTATCCAGTGCTGTTGTTCCACTAACTACAAAAAGTCCTGGAAAGGATGGAGCAAAAGTCAGGCCAGTGGGGAGAGTTACAAAGGATTTGTGAAATGTTTGTAGGAAATAGTCAAGCTGCATTTGTCCTTATTTACAAGTACTGCATCAGTGATTTTATCTGCACTATTATGTGCAGATAAAATGGAAGGCAAGCAGCCCTGCTGAAAATTTCATGTAGAGGATATTGCATCTTAAGTTTAACGTCTGCAAAAAGCAGGCGTAAAATCTGTAGCACGGTATTATTGGATACAGAGAGAGAGAGAGAGAGAGCGAGAGAGAGAGAGAGAGAGAGACTAGCCAGGTAGAAAGCGTGAGTGAGAGAAATGGTGGGAAAATGTCTTAATGATTCAGAGAAGGAAAATACTTCAGTGACTGAAGTGAAGAATATTGCACCACATTGTAAGGATCCATTAAAAGAGTTACTTTAGCCCAAGGAACAATGCAGCAGTCTGTTATTGTAACACAAAGTTTTATTCCTATTTTTCTCTGTGCTGTTTTCAGATTAGGTATTCTTCCTGACTCTTAATGCCTCTGCAGGGTTCAGTCCATTGAAGTATGATTGAAGCACTTATACTTTTATCAGGTTACCACAATCATCTAGACAAATGACTTAAAATTTGAGCGAACATCTGACATTATTTTTTATAACTCATTTTATTATTAAAACATTTGTTGAGCATAAAACAAGAATTGTAATGTTTCCTCACATACAGTCTTCCTCCTTCAGTATGAACAAATGTATCTTCTTTTCAAACAGTAAAGAACATTATCTTTTGCCCTTCACTGGTTTGTAGACACGTGCAACGCTCATTAAATCAGGACAGCATTTATAGAAGTCTGGTTAACTACGACTGGGCTCATATACACTGATCAGCCATAACATCATGACCACCTGCCTGTTACTGTGTACACAGGAGTCAGTGCAGCATTTGAATGGCACTTGTGTCACTCTGCAGCTCACTGTGCATCTTGTGTGAATCTGTTTACATCCATTGCTTTACTGTTGGAAAGAACAAAAAGGTGTCAACCATTCAGTGACAAGCTTATGTTAAAGGAGTGAAAAGTGTTAGAAATAGTTAGAGATAATTTTTAGACCAATTCAACAGCCTCCCCACTCTGTGCGATATCATCACTATAGCTGCTGAATGTTTCTTCATAGAGACCAGTGTAGAGGATTTCTCATTTTCAACTATTTTGAAAAGGATGAATGAAATTTAAAAGTTTAATCTACAGTAGGTCATCAGTGAGCCCTGGGTGTCCATGACCCTGTTGCTGGTTCACTGTCAGTCCTTCCTTAGACACTGCTGATAGGTACTAACCACTGCAGACCAGGAACAAGACCTGCAGTGTGGGAGATGCTCTGACCCAGTCGTCAGCCATCACAGTTTGGCCCTTATCAAAGTCACTCAGATCCTTACACTTGTCTGTTTGTCCTGCTTCCAACACATCAGCTACAAGGACCGAATGTTCATTTATAATGTTCACTGCCCAGTATACCCCACACACTGACAGGTGCCATTGTAATGAGATAATTAGTGTCATTCACTTTACCTGTCAGTGGTCATAATGTTATGACTGATCGGTGTACGTCCTTAGTCTTAGTAAATACCCCGATAAAATGAAAAATTATAGTTATGGAAAAAATTTGTTGTCTGGCGGAATTTTTGCTCATCTTACTAGACATCATCCAAAGTGTTTACTGTAACAGTTGAAACAGGTCAAAAGAATAAGAGTCCCCTGTTGTAGCACTCTTGACACGACAGTCTAAAATCTTTCATGGCCAAATCAGACATCAGCAGGTAGCCATAAGGAAACCCATTGGAAGGGATTCACTCTCACTATTTTTGACTAGGGGTCTGAAGTCCAGTCAGAAATGATCACTGTAGACAGATTTTGTTGCTAAGTGTGAATGAATTGTAAGTATCTAGGTCTTCATATGGAATGTCTCTCTTTTATTCTCTCTGAGTCTCAGAGAGCGTCTGAGTTTTACCTTCCCTTAGAATTTCTCAGTGTGCACAGATAAAATACAGTTTCACAGTTTTTATATAGAGAGTCTCATTACTTCTCTGCTCTGCGACATCATTTTCTCCTTCTTCTCCTCATCTTCCCTCTACACCTCAGCTGGAGAATGGCCCTCATGCATCAGTGTACCAGCTCCTGAAGCTCTTTGCCTATGGAACCTACTGCGACTACAAAGGTATTGCAGTGGCAGTACAGTGTAAATAAGTAATAGGGCAGCTTGCAACTCTTTTATTATGAGCTGTATTTCTTTGCTGCAAGGCAGGTTCCTTGGCATAAAGGCTTTAAACATCCTCACCTGAGACGCTGCAGGCAGGTTACATATAGACACAGTTACTGGAATACTTTTATCTGGTTGGGCAATGTTTCTTTAAGCATTATGATTGGCTGATGGTAATCTATCTTGCAGCAGTGTTGGCACAAACGGAAAATAAACTAATCTTTTGTGACTTAATTTGCTGCCTGTAATGCATCAGGAAGCTTCAACAAGAAGTAGAATGTTAATTATGTCTAATTTTATGCTGAATACCAACCAGTAGCCTGGAAAAAGAAAGCAGCCTACTTTATTGTTCTCTTTCCTTTCGAGCCACGCCAATAGGGAGCACATTTACTTTCACAGAGCTGTGTAGTGGAGCCCTTAGAGGAACTGTCAGAGCTGCTGTCTCGGGGCGTGCGAGTCCTGTCACCGGGGAGCAGGGCAGCAGGAGACACAGTCGCTGGAGAGCAACTTCTTCCAGACTCTGCTCTCTGACTGCTTAAACAGCTCCACACTCACCTGTGTGTGTCACTCTGCAACATTACACTTCAGAGTAATAAGTAGTGCTTTGATCATGTGGGACTTTTTAACCCTGTGGAAAGGAACACTTACACACTCCTTTGGTATATTTTCCCATTGTGTCTCTCTTTTATTTTATGTTCTCGCCTGCTGCTGTAGAGAGAGCAGCCTCTCTTCCAGAGTTGACCCCCGCACAGAGAAACAAACTCCGCCATCTGTCAATCATCAGCTTGGCTTCTAACCTCAAGGTTTGTGTTTTTCTCTTCTGATTTTTACACCAAAATGCAAATGAGCTGTAATGTTGTATTTGACTCCAAAATAGGAAATAAATCTCCCTTCCTCCACCATCATATTGCTGTAGGCCTCATAAATCCAGATATTACTGTAGTATTAACAATTCTGCCTTTAAATATGGCTTTGCTGTTTGATTCAGACACTTAATCTAATATTTCTGAAAAGTTCATGTGGTTGGCTGTAATTTAAAGCTTGTGACTATATTTATGTCAGCTAAATTAGAAGTAAATCATCAGATGAGTTACACATTTCTCAAGGAAAACTTACCAGCAAATATTAATCCATCCCCCAACCACAACCCAAACCCCCCATCTGCATGAAAAAAGTATTAAATGTTCTTTTTATGGCATCCCTTATTTGCACCTTCCAGCCATGCTGCACCTCTCATGATGGCCTTTTCTTTCTCTTCTCCAGATAAATAAATGATTCATTACTCTCACTAGCACTGTCCTTTTTTTCTGTTAACTTAATCTCACTCTCCATTACCAATACTCCCTTCTCTACTCCCTCCTGTTTTTCCTCTGTAATATGTCACAGCCTTTCCCACATGTAGGCTTGAACTCTCTAATTGCCCAGTGAGGGATGGTTGAGTTCTAGTATCTCCTTTCAACTTCCTAGTCTGTGGCATTTAGACAAATGAGCAATTTCGCTATAACATTTTTGTCACTTTCCATCAACCATTTTATGTGGAATCATACTCTTTTCCTGTTTATTTTAAAAAGACATTATGAGGATTAAAGGCTTTTCATGACTTTCTTCCCTCAGTGCCTGCCGTACTCATTGCTCCTGCAGCAGCTGGAGCTGAAGAATGTGCGGGAGCTTGAGGACCTGCTGATCGAGGCAATTTACTGTGACATAATCCAGGGCAAACTGGACCAGCGGAACCAGCAGGTGGAGGTGGACTGCAGTGTGGGTCGTGACCTCGGCCCCAACGAGCTCCCAAACATAGTCAACACGCTGCAGGAGTGGTCAGTATGCCCTCTGTGTGTCTGTGCGCACACTTTAGATTTATATCTCTATTAACTGTTTTCCTAACTCACAGCCTCCCTCCCCCCGTGCCTGTCTTTTCTTTCTCTTAGGTGTACAGGATGCGAGGCGGTGCTGTGTAGCATTGAGGAGCAGGTCTCGAGGGCGAACCAGTACAGAGAGAGCCAGCTAAAGGTCAAAGTCCAAGTGGAAACAGAGGTTAGTGCCTCATCCTTCCAGCCCACAGTTCTCTCACATTTTGCCCCTGAGAATCCTGGAAATGTGACTCTTCCCTCTTCAGTGTCTCTGCTTTATGCTGTCAGCCACTTGTGGTATTTTAAGGTCCTTTTTTTGCTCGTTTGACAGTACATTCATACAGCCGCATTGCTCTTGTTTGACAGTACATTCATACAGCCGCATATTCATACTAAGTTTAAAGGACAGGTTCACAAAATATCAAGTCTGTCTTAAAGCAAGACACTCATGAACATTGGAACAGGTTTTGCTTTCTTCTGTTATTCCTCCTCTTCACACTGCCTGTGATAAGGTCTGAGTTAGACAAATCGAGTGGGTGTCATCTTAAGGTGAGAGGCCTTTTAGAATTTCATCTTTTTGTAACTGTCCTTCAGCTGCAGCCTGGTAAGGAAACCTTAGGAGATACCCACCTGATTTGGATAACTATATATTAGATATATTAGCTTAATTTTCCCCATAAATTTCAGTAAGTAAATAAGAACAAGAGGAACGGTTCCAGCAGGCAAAACCTGTTTCACTGTTCATATAGGCACATGCTGAGGACTGTTTTAAGAAAATGCTGAAACTGTCCTTTAACTTCTCCCCTCTCATTAATCTTTAATCTCTCTCCACCCTTCCCTCAGGTTTCAAACCTACAGAAAACATTAAAGGCCAGCGCCGCCTCTCCATCGTCAGGCCCTGCCCCAGCTGGAGCCACGTCCAATCAGGATGCCGACCAGCCAGCTGAGCCACGAGACCCCGCATCTTCTCAGGAATCACGTCAACCAGGCAAAAAAAGTTCAAAGGTGAAAGGGTGAGTACATTGATGTTACCTTTGTACTGTCCTGCAGCTATAAGGAGGTACATAGCTACATGCAGGGGGTGCAGCCAAATTGTGTCTGCATGACTGATGTTCTCTGAGCATCTTTAATGTAACAGCTTATTCTTTCTTTTTTTTTTAAGGGGCCACCAGGAGTGTGCATAGAAATTGCATTCATTTCCATATGACAAGACCAAACATTTGGTAAATTGAACACATAAACTATGTTTGGCCATGTGGAATATTTTACTGAAATGATTTTTTATTCAGACTTATTATTGGTGCACTCAAGTCTGTGTTTTCCATCAAGAAATGCTGTTTATTCTTACTAGACATAAAATTGGAGCTCAACCCTGCATGTGGAGGTTTTGTTAATTTATTGCTGCTTCTTTTGTTGCTCTGTAAAGCACTTTGTAACTGTGGTTTTTGAAAGGTGCTTTATAAATATGAATTTCTGGTTATATTCACAGCTCTGTAAAGACTCGACTTCAAACACTAAATCAGAGCCATTAGTCTGATGTTCATGTAGAGAGCAAAGTTAATTCAACAGGGAACTGCAATGTTTCAATTTCTTCAGTAAACATTAAAAAGCCAGCTGCTGGTGTAAGTGGTTTGTTGCTGTGAGCGTTTGTTTGTGTGTGTGTGTCTGCATGAAGTACCTTTATTATCAGATGCACATCAGAGTTTTGCAGCCATAGTTTAACCATGCTATCAGGGACTGTGTTCTGTTTCCATCCGGCCCAAGTACCGATGGCTAATTTCACATCTGTCCTGCATTGTAAAATGTCACTGGATATATATATATATGCTCCGTGTGCTGTTCTTCTGAAAGAGCCTTCTCCCCCTCCAGTGATCAGACAAGATGCTTTGCTTGTCTGCTGTTTATGTTGTTGTTACTGAACAGACAGAAGTGCTTATTTTCTGGCAGCCTGTCACATTTTGATGAAGCATAGAGCCCTATAATTTTCATCACTCAGCACCACATTTCATTCAAATGAAGATCCCCTTAATGTTTTGAAATCCAGATTAATGATAGCTTAACCTTATTCCTCAATTTAAAACAAGTGTTGACACCATTCCTTTAAAGAGATGAGATATAAAGATGGGACTAATAGCACAGCAGTTCAGTTCATTCAAAAATTCGTTTTAATTCGCAGAAACAGAAAATCTACTGAGATCGATTTCAATGCAAAAATACTAAATACTGGCATTAGATATTTTAACATTGACACAGTAATGTGCTGATATGGTCGACCATGTAAACCAAGTCAACATGTAAACCATTAAATTAGTTTGATAAATCTCCCTCAAAAAAGTACCATTACGGTGTGTTTTTTTGTTTTTGTTTTGTTTTGTTTATTGTTTATTTCTCTCCAGGCTGCGCGGCAGTGGGAAGATCTGGTCCAAGTCCAACTGAAGATGAGAGACAGCATCATTGATGGACACTCTCACCATTAAACGGACACATGGACATGTTGATAAATGGATATATTAAACAATGTGACCAGTGCTCATGGACACCCTCATCACATACATTGGAAAACAAAGCTTCATGAGAACTTTTCTTCTCACCCAATCTCACCTGGATGGATTCAGAAACACACAGTGGCTGATGGATATGACAGGTGTGACAACCACTCTAGCAGGTTTTAATAGCCTAACAGGATGACTGTCAGTGTAAGTGCATACACTCACGCGCGCGGCACTTGTAACAGTCTAGAGCAGGAATCATTTGCCTTTGACCAGAAACAGGATCAGTGTATTTGGTGCATATGTGTGTGTATCTCTGTTCATTTAAAAAATGTTCTTTTGGTTCAGGTTAACTCTTTTGCTTTGCCGTTTGTTTGTCCCTCCTGAGATGAGGCATGTATGAAG